TAATGACTTAATATTGTCTAATATACATTAAACATGTTACTTTTATAATTTTTATAAAAAAAAATTCTATTTATTATCATTAATAATCTTTTTTTAATATTTTTATTATATTCCCATTGATGTCTGGGCCGGGCTTAAAACTAGGATAAAAATTATAGTTGATCCTTGAATTTTACCTTTGATTTTAATTTAATACTTGAACTTTTAACGGTCTTAATTTAATCTAAGTTTATCTCAATTAAGTCCGTCAATTCATTTCCACCGTTACATCAATGCTAAGCGAATCATATTGGGCTAGTCTCCAATTGACCTAATGATAAAAATTGATAGAATGATTTAAATATGACGAAACTGATAGTTCAAAAATTAAATTGAAACAATTAAAAGATAAAGAGAATAAATTAAGAGTGTGTTTGAATTGATTTAACAAAAAGTATTTTTTAGACTTTTGACTTATCACAAGTGTTTTCATAAAAAAAATAGTATTTGAATTAACTTATTAAAAGTACTTTTAAAAAAATAAAAACTATTTTATCACTTAAATAAACCCAAAAATAAAAATTAAAAAATATAACTTTTACTCGTTCAAAATCCCTTCGGCCCAACCATTACTACCTCATTTTTTTTTTCTCCCAACCCATCGACTCTCTCTCCCGATAACTCATCTCCTCCCGTGGGTCTGTTAACAGCCCTTCTTTCATTTTGGTGATCGACGACAAGGACGATGCCGGAGAGGTAGGCGATCACCGGCGATATCTCGACGACTCCCCTCTCTCTCCATTCTATCTCTGCCTCGCGCTGGCCTTGTGTATCAGAGGATTCAGATTCAAGTCTGATTAATGTGAGTTTGTTCTTGTGATTATTCTTATTTGTGACAACTCTGTTTTAACGTCTAGCTTCTGTTTTCTTTGGGTGATCTTTACTTCACTTGAACGGTTGAACCTTATGATTGCTTGCTTTTCACTGGGATATTGGGGTATGCAGTATGCCATTAGATTGAGTTGAATGGTCTAGGCTACGTAGTTGGATTTGATGCTTAGATGTATTAGCTTAGTTGTAACATTTTTCATGTCTGTTACCTGTTTGTTAATATACCCAAACAAACTTCATAACAAAAGTTTTTGATTCTGAGGAAGCCGTTTACTTCAAAATGAAATGGTGCCTAATTTCATGATTGATTGGGGAGGAGGAATACATTCTGTTTTCTTATACTAGGATAGTTTGTTTCAGAAATCACACCTACATTTCTAGTTCAGGACTGTACCCAATTACATAATAGGTGAGGATATATTGCTAAATTTTCATGTGTTCAGGATAGTTCTGATAATGATTATATGCAATCATTCTGTTATGCTTTGACATATTTGTATCCACTGCCTATTGATTTGTTTATCTAATGTGTTAAGTTAATGTCTAATTAATTGAGAGTTTGTTTTGAGCTTAGGTTTCATAAAAACTCTTTACCTCTATCAGAATCCAGCACCTTAGCCTTCATATTCCTCACTTGATATCTCAAGAGAGAACATATTCTCCTAAAAATGCTATAGGAATTCAAACAGCCCTCACCTGCTCTCCTCCTGCATCTTTCTTTCCACACCTGCCAATATATCAATGCTGCAAGAGTTCTCACCAGACCACAACCAACAGATCTCCTTTTGAAAACCCTACAAATCCTCATCCATCTTACTAGTGGCAACTCACCTGCTACCAGCTGAAATCCAGCCATAACAGCTAACCTTCCCCAGATATTCTCAACAAAGCTACAGCTTACAAACGCATGCTCAATATCCTCCTCTCCCTTATACCATAGACTGCATCTACTAACCATAGGCACCCCACACATTCTGACCCTTGAATCCAAAGGAAGAGCTTTCTTCAAAATTTTCCAGCTCACCAGTTGAGCACTAGGAGCAGTCTGCATACCCCAGATAACCTCAGTAACTAAATTTCTCTCTCCTTGTGTCCTGAGCAACTGCCAAGCTGATTTGACAGAGAAAATTCCAGATGGAGACTTCTGCCAAGCTATCTTATCATCAGAATCAGACAGAACAATTCCAGAATTCAAAATTTCCACCTTCAGCTCCTGCACCTCATTCAGATTCCATCCAGAACCAGTCAATAATGCATTCACCGTAGGAAAACTCTGAGGTGAATCCTGAATCCTGAATAGCAGAGGAGTATCACCTACCCAAACATCACACCAGAAATCAGCTTTATCTCCCTTGCCAATCAGCACTCTTGACAGCATTATAATCTTTTCAAAATAAGGCCTCAAAGCCTCAAAACATTTAGAGTGTCTCTTGTCTAGGCATCTTAACAGGTGTTTACCCTTCAAGAACATAGCAGAAAAGACTTGTGCCCATAAAGAAGTCCCCTGCATTAAATGCCATACTTGCTTCCATATAAAAGCCACCTGCACGTCTTCAAATCTCCTCAGACCCAATCCACCTTCAGATTTAGGCATAGCAATCTGATCCCAGGCCACCCAATGTCTCCTCCTACAGCTTATTTGACCAAATAAATCCAGCCATTATAGCCTTCAACTTATGAGGAATGAAAACTTCCATTAGCTCATATTGGCTTCAGTTTGTCTTTCATTCTTTGCAATTTCTTTGTCGAGTTGATTATTTGTTTAAAAAATAACCCTTTATCAGGCCCTAGTATAGTGGGATTTGAGCCCCCGTAGCAGCCCTATCTTTTCTATTTTGCTGCATCTTGCAATCCTTGAGCTCTTAAAATGTTGGGCATGTAGTTGACAGAGGAAAGAAACTGATGGTAGATTAAAATTTTGAGTAAGACTCTCCTTCTGCAGTCCTAATCTCCTAAATACTTGTAATCAGACTGTTGCATCCCTTAAATAGGCCTGCTGGCCCACCTTAGTAACTACCAATTAGCATTGAGTTCAATAATGCTTGTTGCCTAACAAGAACCCATAGCTCACAAAGATGTGTTTTAGACTTTGTTATGACCTAAAATATCTTACACTGAATAAGTATTTTCAAATGAGAATGCATCATTGATGTATATGTTCGACTCTTGAATAGACATATGCTACTAGAATTTATCTAAATGTCAATACTTATATTTTTTCATTGCTTTGGATGTGTTGTGCAGAATGAATCTAAAAACTATATGTCTTACCATACTTGTCATACAACTTTTGAGAAAATGGGCTGCAATGCGCAAGAGTAAAATGCTATGTAGGACTTCTGCACTAACCGGTCATCAATATGTGTTAGAGATTCTTAATAGTCATGATCGTGTATCCCTTGAACAATTTCGAATGAAAAAGCATGTGCTTATTTCATTGTGCGAGTTAATGAAAGAAAAGAACTTGTGTGATAGCAGAAATGTGTCAAGTCAAGAGAAGCTGGCTATATTTTTAATCACTATTGGTCACAATGAGAGAAATAGAATGATGCAAGAGTGATTTCAACATTCTGGGGAGACAATAAGTCGATATTTCAATGATGTTTATTAGGGATGGCCAAACTTTCAATGAAAATCATCAAGCCTAATCAAAATTTCAATTGCATCCCTTAAGAGATTAGATTGAATCCTAAATACTATCCATATTTCAAAGATTGTATTGGGGCAATTGATGGCACACATGTTAGCGCTCACGTTCCTACTTCAAAACAAATTCCTTTTAGTGGTAGGAAAATACTTTGCACACAAAACGTCTTCGCAGCATATTCTTTTAACATGGTTTTCACATTTGTCAATGCTGGGTGGGAAGGAACGGCTCATGACTCCAGAGTGCTACTACATTGTACTCGTAATATGCATTTAAACTTTCCAAAACCACCTCTAAGCATGAGTAAAGAATTCGTTGATTAAATTTTTTTGCATTCTTCTACATAGAATAACTAATGAATTTGTTGTTTTTTTAGGAAAATATTATGTGGTAGACGCTGGCTTCCCTAATATAGATGGTTATCTTGCTCCTTATAAGGAAACGAGATATCATCTACCTGAATTTCGTAGAGGTGGAAGACCTTATGGGAAGGAGGAGTTGTTCAATCATGCATATTCTTCGTTAAGGAATGTGATTGAACGATGTTTTGGAGTATTAAAGAAAAGATTTCCAATTTTACAGCAAATGCCCAGTTTTAATTTCACTAAGCAAATGTTTAATGTTGTTGCTTGCATGACTTGTCACAATTACATAAGGCTTCATGACATCAGAGACATTATTTGAAAGATATGCTAATAAAGACATGGAGTTAGAGGAGAAAGGCAATGTAAACCAAATTACTTTCGAAGAGGATATTGATTTGTTAGATACAAATCCAATGTATAGAAAGAGAGAACGTATTGCTTCAGCAATTCTAAGAGACAATCACGCATGATTTTTTATTGTATTTACTATTAATGTGTTTTGCGACTTTAGTATGTCATTGTGATAGTTGGACTATGTAGTTTTTTCGTATGATATATTTATTAATATGATATTTTTGTGTATGATTTTTTTTTTTTTTGGTATCATTATATGTGTAGTGTATGTTTGTATATGTGCATTCAATGTTGTTAACAATTGTGACACAAATAAATGTTTTCACATCCAAACGTGTTTTTTATAAAATATATTCATTTAAGTACTTTAAATTTTGAATATCTAATCAATACTTATTTAATAAAAGTGTTTTTCTTATAAACACTTTTGATAAACATTTATTAAAAAATGCTTTTTGAATTTCATAAGTCATTCCAAACGCACCCTAAAACTAAAGACATTATGATTTCCTAAAAACTATGCCCAAAACCCTCTAGTCCCCAATCCCCACCCTTTTCTCTCTCTCTCTCTCTATATATATATATCTCTCATTCTCGCCTGAGAAGGTGACTCTTTTCACTCTTCACCTCTACAGATACCGAACTACTGAGCACAGTGTGAAAGAATATGTGCAGAGTGAACTTTTAAAAGTGGAAGAAGTCCTATTGTGTGGCAGACAGCTTTTTTCTTATTATATAGCATTGAATTACTTCTTGTGGATTTTAGGGATACCCGGATCAGATTTTGACCTCCTCGTAGACTTGGTAAGGTCTTGTGTTCGTTTGAAATTGGTTTGGGGCAACAGAAACTCTGACATTCAATTCTTGATGCTGATTTTACAGCTCACTGAATCACAAGGCCAAAGAGCAACAAGTCAACAACCATGGATGGTACGTGAAGCCTCATATTTCCTATCAGGCTAGCACTATATTATTCAGGGTTTTTGACTCATTGTTTAAGATCCCAGTGTGTCATTTCAGTAGACTGCATGTTAGAACTCTGTTGTGAATGTTGTACGCCAGTCCAACTAACAAAGAAAAAGATCCCATAACTGAAGAAGTGTCATTTCAGTAAACTGCGTGTTAGGACTCTGTTTTGAATGTTGTATGCCACCACTAACAAAGAAAAAGATCCCATAACTGAAGAAAACAAACTAAAAGAATTGGTGAAGAAAACTAAGGATGGACTTGTACTAATGGGTTCTCATATTTTCTGTGTTTACTTTAATAGTTGATTCACAGCCAACTATGGAGGAAACGATTTTGGTTGGTGATGATCTTATGATGGGCCCACCATCACCGCTCATCCCACCTGAAATTGCCTCTCATGTGCTTCAAGGTGTTGATTTGTGTGATGGGATTTTGAGGAACCTGTTTTTGTGTAAGTTGTACCTCACCCCATTGGCTATCTTTCTTTGTGGGTGTTTGGTGTTGCTTTGGTGATTCTCATTTTTGCCTCTTTCTTTTGTAAATAATACTATAGGCCTGCAAATCAATGATATTGAGCCATTCTGTCAAGATGAGATTGCTTTATACCGGCAGTGTGCAGAGAAAAGGGTGAGGTTATGATTGCTGTCATGATTAATTTTGAAATTTTTCTTAGAGCTTTAAGGTGTATATGTTGTAAATGGAGTTTGTAAAATGTGACTTGATTCATGTTTATGGCAGCAATCTCATTCCAAATCTACATATGTAGGATAAGGAACTCAGACAACGGCTTCTAGATAGTGAGCATAAATTGGGTATATCAATGCCTTTAGACGATGCAAAGGAAAGAGCTGCACAGATAGAATCAGAAGCCACATCCTTGGAGAGGTATTGTTTACTCAATTATGGAATGATAGGATAATGTAGTGTGAAATTATGTTGCACTAACAAATGTATACCCGTTAGGATCTACAATCATACAACTTCTACTACTGATTCCATCACACTATGTCTGTATTTAGTTTATCGTAATATTACTTCAACTCTAGGATTAAAAATTTCGTAAGTTACGAATAGGAAAATGAATAGTATTCCTCGATCATCACAATTCACACAACAACATTGAAGTTTGTGTAATTGGAATTCTGTCAATGTGCTTTCAAATACTATATAGGGGACTAGCTTTATATACGTTACTAGTCATGCTGCTAGTTTTAAAGCTAAATAGAGATGGGAATCACACTAATTTTATCCTGTCTATAATGATTTGAATCCTGAAATGTAGGATGCAGTTGCAATTTTAAGTCTGACCTTTTTTGCATATATCATGTGCCATGCATTCTGATATATGTCAAACTTTATATTTATGTGTCTTATGTACTTTTGGGATATGTTAGTGTACAATCTATATGTATGTTTGTAACATACATGTTACATAAATTTAATAGGGAATGTGAATATTTTGTGAATCTGACATAACCAGTGAAGTTGTACAAAATAGGTTTGGGTATTGGATAGGATTCTACTCATCCCTAATTTGATCTTAAGGCATTTATTTATCAGCCTGATGTGTGATGTGTTCAAAGCATGATTCTTTTTTAGCTTGCCATATGAGATATAGCCAAGGATTGCATTTTTTGTGATGCATTTGTTTTTTTGTTTTTGTGTATAGGATCTGTACTGTTAGCACCTATATTATGTGTTTGGTGTTACTTAAAATGGGCTATGGATTGGTATGACATTACCTGTAATCACAGTGCATTTTTTCCCTTGAATTGCAGTATCCCTATGGATTGGTATTCTCAATGGCTGATGATGTAGATGGCAAACTATTATTTCATCTTAGTCATAACAGCCATAAGATTTTTCACTTTGCTCTCTGTGATAATTTTGTGTTACAGAGTTATCTAATTGCTTCCAATGATCTTATTTTTCCATATGTAACTAATTGTGAGTTATAGGCGCTTGATCCTGGCTAGTGGAATTGAAGGTATGGAAGGATTTCGGCAGAGATGGAGCTTGCATGGTCGCCTTACAGATACCAAGTAATGTCTACACCTATCCTTACATTTTCCATTGAGACAGCATAGCATTCATATATGCTCACTCTTGCACATTCCAGGTGACTGAATTGTAGGCATGTCGACACCAATTCAGTTCATATCCAGCTCAACTCAACTTAAATCAATTCGTTTACCATTAATAGCTACCACATTACTCTTTCTCATCGGTGCATTAGTAGGTCGTCTAAAAATATTTCTGAACCATCAAAGTCAATTCTACCTTTCCATCATATCTTTATATGGTGTTTTTTGCAATGAACATATTTCATTCATTTCAGCATCAATAAATTTTATGAGAATGAATTTCCTCTTGAACTCTCTTTCTTTCTCGCCTTTCTTTGTCTCTTTCTTAAAATTTGTGCGTGTATAATTAATGGACATTTAGAGAAGCAGAACTCTTTAATCTGCTTTTTGTGATTATTTTATTCTGTAATGTATTCACAACAAGCCTTGTGCAGGAAAAGACTGGAGGCCTTGAAGCAGGGAATAGAGAAGAGAAGAAATGATGAGCCAGTTAGAGTTTCAACCACAAAAGGATGGTTCTTTTGGTGAAAGTCGGTTGGTCCTTGCACGATCACGATATGCAACATCACAGAAAATGAGCAATTGGTTTACTGGAGATGCTCAGTGGGGCTTATTGTGTTTTAATTTGCTGTTGTCCTCGAGAATTCTGCACCCTCACCCAAATGTCTGGAGATGGTAGTGTAGTTCATATGGGCTTGGCTAAGGCTTGTGTATTATTACAAGTTTTATGCTGTACCCCGTCTAATTGTTGACACAGGATGCGTATTTGCTGGACAAAGAAAGAAAGAAACAAGACGGTACACATTTAAATACTACCCCAGATGTATAGGAAAGTACTGTGTGAATTATAAAACTTTTATTGAAAATATAACTCTTTTTTTCATGATCATTTGTACTATTAAACAAACAAAATGTTTACCTTCTAATTCATTTTATGATACTGCTCACTGCAATTGACAAATCCTACAGTTTAGAACAAAACATCCCTTCTGCAGCATGGGGCATAAAAGATTCAAACACGCACTGTTAGCAGCTATTCTGCTTTTAATCGTGACAATGCATAATCGCATGCCAGAATACAGGTCATAACCAAACAATTATGTGCCGTCACAACCCTCGTTGAGGTTGCCAAAAGTAACTCAGCATTTCCCTAAGAAACTTGGGAATTTCTATACTAACTATAGAACTTGATTCACTCGACTAGATCATCAGCGGTGTAGGGTCATGCAAATTTGCGATCGTCAAATAGGCTCCGTAGATTCATAAGGACCCTACCCATTACAAATGGTTTGAGATCATGGTGAATGATAACCACCTCCCAGATCATCAGCTTTTCTTTGTGTTGATGAGTTTGGTTTTGGTGATCGGATTGGATCAGCACAAATAGTGTTCCCTGTATAGTAGTGTTCTACTGGAAACCATAATTGCACAAAAAGCATCATCTAGATTACAGCTTCATTACATTATGTAACATTCCCAGTAATCATCTAACATATATCACATAAGCAAGTAAATTTCATTGACCAAGAGGAATAATAGTTGATTTCTGACATACAAATTTCAATTTAGATATCTATAACCAACCATTGGCCCTCCACCTTCACCTCGCCCACCAGCACAAAATTGTAAATACATACAGGGGGGAAAGAAATGACCCAGTTGATCAGTACTGCTGGTTGGATTATATGACCATTTGTCATTGCCAATCAGCAGAATTCCAAACATTTGCACTACATACAGGAACCAGATGTGCGGCAATGTTTCCTAAGCTGTGTATCAACGTCACCTCTACTAGAACAGTCCCTTTTAGATGTCTCAGTTCCAGCATCTTACAAGTAGCCCAAGCTTGGTTACTATATGCGGGTATAAGAATGAGCAAACCAGGTCTCAACAGCTATCTGACTTCCAAATCCACGAGACACATTCTTGTAGTAGTTGAAATTTCTGATGTGTTGCTACATTCAAGAAAACCTGCATTTTGTTCCAGAACTCGGATACACCCTCTTTGCACCTAAAAGAGCCAGCACATGCACAATGTTCAGCTAAATGTGCAGCTTTAACCTGGTTGCACTTATGGCACACTAGGTCCTGCAGATGGTACAGTCGTTCTCTCTGCCGTACGATCTGAAGAAGCGCATTCTCCATCACTCCACGGTCATATGGTTGCCCACACTGTGGCACAGCACATCGCCACTCCTGAGCTAGCAAAGCCCTGTCACGGCACAAGTCTATATCTCTGCAGTCATTGCAGTAGCTGCCAACATAGAAAATTCAGTATTAATTCTTTGAAGATAGCAAAGGGAGTGAATCTGATAGTTGGATCCAAAAAGAAGTCTAAAAAATCCCCTAAAAAGATGTATACTAATTCTGCTAGGAGGAGCCAGACAGCTTCTGAGGTCATGGTTTTAAGGACTGACAGTGTAACCACACCAGCACAAGCAAACACCTACTGAGCTATAGCCAACTCAATGGCTTTAGTTAGTTTTTTAAGCTACTAATGAAAACCTAAGAAACACGGACAATTCACAGACACATGTGCGAGTTGAGACACCGACACTCGGTTACATGTCCAATACCTTTTTGGCCATCTCCATACATTTCGGACACTTGTATGACACTTTGTGTAATGTGTCCGACACTTGGGCCATATCTCTGAAAGAGGTGAGTAATACTAAGGATTGAACACTATAATTAGTGAGAAATGAAATTCTGCATAGAAAACATATATCACATTTGTGAATGTGATAATTACCGGCTACGAAGTTTAGGTAGGTAAATCTATGACTAGAAAATAAACATGTGGCCAACACCTCTTGAGCACCTGTTAAAATTTGAAGAGATTAAAGCTTATAAATTTGATGTATCGCAATCTTATACCACAACAAAATGTATGATTGTAATTATTAATCATATTAAAACTTCGGGGAAAATTTTCTAACAAAGCAAAAGATAAATCTTTTACAAAAGAGTAAGGATTGAGAAGATGAGATGAGTGATGAATGTATATGCTTGGTATACTTTGTCCCTAACTATGGGTCAGTATTGATTATTATCTATCTAGTAGATTTAGTGGTTCTTAAGTAATAATTCCAACACATTTATAATAGTTTGTATGCATGCATTTCTAAGGACACAATTACTGTAGGCTTGTAGCATGTCCTAGTCGCACCATTGTCTAATTTTAGGATTTAGAGTGTCAATATATCGGTGTCATGTGTCCTTTAAATGCCTCATAGGTTAGTGTCAGGTTTAGGTTTAGGATTGGCAATTTTATGACTTGTATTTAGCATTTGAGGATATCAACTTAAGAAGAGCATGGATGCAATGGGGTAGTAGAGCAAATCGATAATGAGCTACTTGTCAAACTATTCCAGTGTAATGTGACCGGACCCGAAATTGAACGAGAATGATCGTCGGATATCATTGAAAAGAAATAGAAAAAAGTCTTAATCAAAGTGTGAATGTCCCTATGAAGTGTCACACGTTAAGAAGGTCCTTACTTTCTTTTTCCATATTGAGCAAAGAGAACCAATACAGATATCCAGACTCATGTACTCCTTCACCTTTAGTAAAGGCAGATTAAGCAAAAAAATAAAAAAAAATAAAAATCTTTTTTTTTTTAACAGAATTGAATATTTCCCAGCACAACAAAGAAGAAATAAGATATTTTGCCGTGTGTGGCAAGGCAAAATTTAATATTTCCGGAAGACCTAGAGTTCATAGGGAATCGTGTCTAGGTCAATTAGGTCACATTTACGGGATAGACACACTTCCTTAGGACCATCTTAACCTGCCCTCTAAGTTGGCACATAATGTTAGCTTCTGGAACAGCGCTGGTCTACCAGCTCCCTAATGCTGGTCGACCAGGGCCAATCAACCAACCCTGAAGCTAGTCGACCAAGTAGGCAATTCCAAAAAAAATTAGCCGTTGCAATTCACTCTCATTTATATCCCACCTATTTAATGTGGGATGATTGATGCAAGAGAGATTCAAAATCACTTATACACATCTTGAGAGTGATTAAGAAAAGTTTACATTAATTCATCAAGTCCCATAGAGCGGAAACGGGAGCGAAAGTGAGAGCGCAAAATCGCAAAATTTTAAAAAAAATTGGGAGCAGGAGCGCGTTGAGAGCGTCATATAATATACATATTTACATATATAAAAACTAATAAAAATATAATTTTATATACAAATATATGATAAATGATTTAAATTTATTTAAATCAAAAAAGATTTCTTGCTAAAAAAAATAAAATCAAAAAGCTTTGAAAGACAAAAGCTTTGAAAGGCATTTTTATGCCTAGCAGCTGAGATCCTACATCAAATAGTCAAGAAACTTACCACCAGTACTTGACTATAAATTAGGAGTGAATGATCCCTTGAGCTGGAAAGCATTCTTTAGGTGAGTACAGTAAGGAGAAGTTTTGGGTCTTTTTTGAATATTTTGGTTGGCTCAAGTTAGTCTTT